TCGGATCTATCACGCACATGATTTGCAAATGCAAGTAGCACCTCCATCGAAAATGGTTATAGTATACTAGATTTACTTACCTCAGACTGATCCTAATCGGTCTATTGTTGAGTATATGTATCTTGTTTATCCTCAACAATCATAATTATGCAATATGATACAAGATCTCATGATTATAGTCAAATCGACTATATCCCACATTCAAGTTGGTTCACGAATGATTTAAAATCGAGTCTTCAATACTCCAAATGCACGTTCATTCTTGCTTCATAGAAGTGTTTCCGAGTCCAATTCGATTAGAGACTATCAATCTATTGACAACCTGAATTAACGAAGACCCATGTGCTGTAAAAGTCTTGAGTGAGAAGATGACTTATCACAACTTAGATGACAAATATTATCATTAAACAACAAAATTTCTAACAAATTTATCTATTGTCAACATCTACTTGTCTAAGAAGTTTTTTTTCATTTATAAAGCCATCTCAAAATCAGTATTTTTCTCACAAAGAATCTGTCTTCTCTCTCCTTGTCTACTATGTTTGTAATTGCGAAGATGATGACAGATTTTGTTTTGGAGTTCGTCAACAAAACAGTTTCAAGTTCCTCTTCTGTAACTTTATCATCATCTTAATCCTATTGATAAACTCTAAATCGTACTGTGAAGACGAGTCAACGTCTAGTTCAAAGCAATCCATGTTAATATCTGACTCGGTTCTTTCTTCCAAATCCGGTTTTAAGAAATTTTTTGATATTCAATTAGTACCAAATAAAATTGAATGTGTTAGTAATTACATTGAAAGTGCCACTAGCCCAGTGATAAAACGCCTTGCATTTGACTCAATCAACCCGAGTTCGAATCCACAGGTGTACATGTTTTTATTTTCAAATTCATGTGAAACGACGTCGTTTCATCTCATTTGAAAACGACGTCGTTTCACTTAACGGCAACATTTAATGTTGTGCTGATATGGCCAGTCAATATTAAGTTGCTTAATAAACCAAAAAGTTAACAAAAGTGCAGAGCTTTCTTGGCAAGGCTCTAGTACAAGTTTTTTTTGGCAGTTTGTACTTTTTTTGGTCGTATTCTCAAACAAAATTTAACATTTGTGTGATTAAGTGGAAACAGGCTTAACTAAATTTGTATCAGAGCGAAAATTAAATCCAATTAGAAATACAATTTAAAATTTGCTAAAAGAGAAAAATGTGCTACAAAACAAAGTTACAGAAAAACAAAAGCAAAATGACGCTGATACGAACACATAGAACCAAAAATCAGAAAAATATATCAGATATTTTCTGATACGATTCAACTAATATTTTTTTTTGAAAAGATTTGCAGCCATAGTTTTCCTAGTATGATTTTAGAAAATTAGGCTAAGGCTATTGCAACCAACCAAAATGCAATAATATATTGGACATAAAAAAAACTTTCTAGTTCATCAATTCCACAGAAAAAAAATAAAACAAAGTTGCTGTCCAAAAACGATAAAAACAAAGTTAACAAATTAATAAATCTGACAGAAATGATACGGTTTCCTAAACCAAATTGAGATATGTATTAAAAGTTTAAAATGCATTCTAGCTATGGACGATATCCAGCATTTATAATTGTTTACATGGAAATCGCAACTCCTATTAAACAAGTAATTCAAATTGGCATAAAGAAAACTTGTATAATAATGTGAATGCCCAACTTTTTAGACTACCAAGATTCTTCACCAAAAACTCAGTAGTTTTTATGTTTGAAACCACAACATCTATTGATTTTATATCATCATTACTTGATCATGTGACTTCTAAGGCTTGTGCTTATATTTTTCCAATCAAGCTTATGACATTTGGTGTTATTCATCCCACATTGTGTGAATGCCAACTTTTGTAAGTCTCATAAACTTTATAAATATATTATTCATTTTACACAGTGTGAATGTCAACTTTTGTAAGTCTCATAAACTTTATATATAGATATATATTTCATAAACTTTTTATATCTATTTGGGTTTTTTTGAGAGTTTTTGAATTTTATGATTTACTAAATGATAGCTTCTTTCATGTTACTCCGAGTCATCGTCAATATGTTTTAGCTTAACCAAATTCATAGTCCCAGACTTAGCAACTTTTAAAAAGTTACTCACACTTTGTTTAACAAATTTGAACACATTTATCTGTTTATTTGAGCACATTAATATTTTTTAATTTGTTTATAAGAAATAAAATAATGACGCGGCATATAAATTTAAAACCCAAAAATGATTTTCGAGTTAAAAAAAGAGCAGGATTAGGATTTGACAAAATATATGGATTCGAATAACCAAACCCAACTTAGACCAAAAAATAATACTGAACTAATATAAATTGATTTTTTTTTTGTCATCAAACAAACATATTCATATAGACTTTGTGAACTAAGCTAGTAGCTCTGCATCCATGTTAACAACAAAGGACGATTGTTTTCTGGCGCTGCGTGCTAGACTATCCTCCCGTGAATTCTGCGTTCGTGGTACATAAATGATCTTTGAGCTGTGACAACTATCTTTCAGCGTCTTGATATCCTCCAAATAAGTTGCAAACGCCGGTTATTCTTCAGGTTCCAACACCATCTTCACCAGCTGAGAACAATCCGTTGCAAAAGTGATATGATATTGACGCAAATTCCTCATATATTCCATTGACCAAATTACGCGTCCACCTCAGAATGGAGGGGCGACAGGCTTGCCCTGACATTTCTTGCTCCCATTAATCCCTTAAAACCTTCTAGTGTGCTATACCGACGGAATGTCCCCTTCCTAACTCTGGTGCGAAACTCTCTGCGTCTGTGCCAACTGAGCCTCACACCATAGAGTTGATTTCGTTTCCGCAAGTTTCAACATATCTCTTGGATCAATATCCAAATTACTAAATGTCTTGCTATTTTTGGCTTTCCAAAGGTACCATAGTATCCATGCAAAGTGATGATCGTCCATTTTTGGGATTACCGTCCAAAATAAGTGATCAATATTTGTGTACAGAGAATTGGTAGGAAAAACATCTGGATCAGATGATATCTCTGATAATGCCCAAACCTCACGTGCTTATGGACATTCAAAGAAAACATGATTAATCGACTCCTCCTCTGTTCCACACCTAACACAACAAATGTCTCCTTGCATTTCTCGTGCTTCTAGGTTTTTCTTCACTGCTTGCATCCCGATATTAACTGCCATAAAAAATGCTTTATCTTTAGAGGGCATCGTACCTTCCAAGATATGCCTTCAATGGGTCGACCATAGGTCCCATCATTATTGGTTATCTTTCATTATTTGGATAAATCTGTTCCACTTGATAGCCCGACCTCACTGTATATTTCCCGTTATGTGTAAAATGCCAACCATCCCTATCCTCCATCTAAGTCCTACTCAATGGTATACTCTCTATTATTTTTGCATCTTCATGGTCCACCAAAGCCCGAATTGCCTGCGTATTCCAACTCAGTGAGGTAACGTTAATGAGCGAATCCACTGTAAGTGTTTACAGTGGATTCGGGTAAAGGTCATGTTGATTTTTATTTGCTGGTCTCGGACGAGTGGTTGGGAGCCACGGATCATTCCATTCAGAGATGGATGATCTTGATCCCACCCTTTTGATTAGTCATTTGCTAACCAGAGATCTAGCAAAAGTCATACTCCTCCAGCCATATGACGGATAGTATGTATCTTATCGGGTCTAGGGGTGAAGCATTCCTGAAATATCGACCTTTAAATACTCGTGAAAATAACGTGTGTGGTTTCTCAATGAGGAGCCACAGTTACTTGACAAGCATAGCTGTGATAAAGTTATTTAGGTCTTTAAATCCCAAACCTCCTTCATCCTTATCCAAACATAATTTATCTCATGATTTCCAGTGCATTCCTCTCGTACTACCCCCAGGCTCCACCAAAATTGAGATACTGCTGCCGTCAGATTCGTTGTGGTTGTCTTGGGTATACGGTAGCAGAACATCACATGATTTGGCAAAGCCGAGATCACTGATTTGATTATTACCTCCTTTCCACCCTTAATGAAGAATTTGAAAGTTCATCCATTAACCCTATATTATTTAACCGGTCCTGAACAAAACCAAATAAATTGATGAAATATTCGAATGAATCCATAATTTTAATATTTGAAGTACCATTATCAAACTCGGTTTGATCCAAATTATTTAGAATATCCGAATTATATACTTAATATATTATTATTTTAGATTCAGTATCATTTTTTTTTGAAACACTTTTAGTTTCAATATCTATAAAATATTACAAGTACGTACAAATTTCAACAAATTACCAAAATTCTTCATAATAAAAATTTTAAAATAGTCAAAAACTCAAAACACCGGAAATATATATCCTAAATATAATTTATTCTTCACCCAAATATCTAAGCTGAACAAATTTTTGTATATTAACCTTGGGTATTTAGTATTACATTATTCAAATTTATATGTTGTAATTTAATTTTAGAATTTTGAGAATTGTAAAGTATATTTGGAATTTTATTAAATTTTTTGCATAACTTAAATGTGTACCATGCGAATTGAACCCACAGTATTTCCGACTGAATCCGAATTAATAGATATCCAAAGGAACTTAAATGTTCAGCGTCGAAAATCCAAAACCCGGACAACAACCTCTAAGCAGGATCGTTTGAAATAGTTTTGTTAGCTGAATACAATTAGTGTTTAAAAACAAGTAGCAGATATATAATATATATTCCCTCTGTTTACATACTTTAGGTCCACGTTCTAGAAAAAAATTGATTTCAAACAGATATATTTTTTCATTTTCAATATATTTATTAATTGTAAATTGTAAACTTCAAAACATATTGTATTTTTAAATTTTTTTTTGTTAAAAATCATAGGAAGTAATTAATTATAAAAAATTAATATATTGATAATTTACAATTAATAATTTTTTTTAATAAATGTGAAAATATTAAAGCATAAAACATTTTGAAACGAGTACTAAATAGATTCACCGAAGACGAACAAAAACGCCGTTTGAGTTTCAAAATAAGTCACTGAAGAGTAAATTAAATGAGAGAGTTTGCACACACATTAAAGTTTTGCACTTCTACAACAACCACTTCGGGACACAACGAAAACAAGTCAGAACCCTAAGGATTACATCCTTCAACAACCCTAACTCTTTAGTGAGCATCTCTTTTTAGTAAAACAACTAAAACTGGAGAAAAAAACCATCACTCTAAAGAACCTTCAGGCACCAAAGAAGAAAAACGAAGGAGGTCAAGATCAAGAACGATCCATGTCTCATTCACTCACTCAATTTGGAACCTCGGTGTCAGATTCGCTATGGTCTCCAAATTCTTCATCATCTTCATCTTCACCCTCTAAATTCTCTTCGTCATCTTCTCCGGGGAGAGAAGAGAAGAGATCCCTGATTTGTTCGGCAGTGTTGTTTGTGTAGTAACCTTGGACAGCGTTAGTGCTTGGCTGAGGCTCATGCGAAAATGATACAGGTGGTGCGGACACTGGTGGTGCCTGAATAACAACAGGCTTGTTGATCCCATATCTAGCCTTTGGATCTTCCGCTGAGCCACCACCGAATGAGATGTTAGAAGCTTGTGTTGTAGTAGGGATCCCAAATCTTTCTCCTCTTTGCTTCTTCATCTGCTGCTGCTGCTGCTGCTGTGACTCTTCTTGACCCGCTACAAAACGCCCTACCACTACCTGAAAAAACAGATAACAATGCTTCAGAACAAGAAAAAAAGCTCCAGTCATTTAGAGAGGGATCAACACCTCATGTTGGATAAGTTAGTTTACCTGAACAGGACCAGCGGCTATAAAGAGACCGGCGAGTCCACCACCAAAGACACGACCATCAGGTCCTGCAAGAGACACACTCATCCCTCCAGCTCTGCTTCGGGTCCCTCCACTCTCGCTTGGTATAAACGAACCCGTCAGAGAAAGAATCTCAAAATGACCCTGACCACAAATTGTTAATTAAACTTAGTAAAAAGAAAAGCTTTAAAAAGAATCTAAAAGAGAGAGAGAGCAGACCTCATAAGTGAGGGTACCACCAGATGTCATAGACTGACGAAGTGTAACATTGGAAATGGGACCGTTCGCTGAAAGAATGCAGACAGAACGAGAGCTTTGTTGAGAGAATGTCATAATCTTCATCGTCACATCCTGTTATTAACAATTGTGCCCCAAAAGAGTTACAAATCTTGGAGTTCTGCATGTGTTCATATTTAAAACTGAAAACTTATTTTCTTTCTTGCAAAAATTTCAGTAAAGGAGGAATACCTCGCCGGCATTTACTGTGAGCACATGAGGGGTAAAGCTTGCACTGCTAACAACTCCAGCAGTTCCCACAACTGCAAAGTAAAAATCAAATGAATCACGAATTAAGGTAAAAAAAATAAATCAGGAGAACCAAGAAAGTGAGCAACTTTAGGAAGAAATCTTGAGTTGTTAGTGGCTAGATATAGTTGTTAGCAACTATGCAACTTAATCACAGTGCTTATATATCGTCAAATGATACTCTCTAAATTGCATTCTTCTTCCTTATGACTCGACTTTTATTGATATATATATATATTCCAGCTTAGCAGACAGTACTTACTATCTTTTTAGACAACACTTTTGTCCTTACTGCAACTTTTTTAACAAGTCAAACCAAAAGACAAATAGATCGAGAGATCCATTACAAGCCACGTATTGGTTAAACAGATACCAAACTGTACAAAGATTCCTATAATCTATCTAACACAAGTGAGATATATGCATTACCAGGAGAATTGTTGTCGAATTCGAACATCTGAGGATTCTTCACCCAGCTGTTGTTGTTGATGCTGATGGGCGGCTCTATACGTCCTCGACCTCGTCCTCTTCCTCTACCGCGCCCTCGTCCTCGTTTCCGGGAAGCAAAATCCGTCGTCAATGGAACGGAGGAGGAGATAGGCATCGGAGAAAGTGTAACAGCGAGTGAACCGTCGGGATTATACTTTCTCGGTCTCCCTCTCTTCTTCTTTTGCTCAGAAGACGAATTCTCCACCGGCATTGTTAAGCTGAAAGGAGGAGCGGCATTCTCTGAAGCTTTAGCCGGCACGGCGGAGGCAGATGCAGATGCGGTGTTGGGTAATCCGCCGACAGGAAAAGGGTTAGGGTTTTCGGACCGTGGTGGGTCCATGTGGTAGGCACCACCAGTAGGAGGAGGAGGAGGTGGAGCTACATGTTGGTTCAGACCAAAGCTGCTGCTTATGATGTTGTTGCTGTTGTTGGTTCCTTCTCTCTCCTCCATTCTGTAAGGAGAGATTCCGACAGTTTAGGAGAAGCTTAAGAATACACTCGAATCTTGCTGATCACGACAGGTTCAAGCTTCTGACTTTTTGAAGTACGGACAAGAGAAAGAAAGAGAAAAGAGATCCAGAGGAAGTAAGATTCAGAAGAAAGACGAAGTCTTTCAAAGTGAGAACAAGTGAACTTAGTGAAGAGAAAGATCGAAGCTTCCATGGCGGAACCTTAATTTCGGATGAATTTCTCCTAAAACACTCATAATTACCAACAGAAATTTTGGATTTTTTTTTTCTACGGGTGGGTTAAGTTTAGGGAGAAATTGATTTACAGATGTGAGAAATTAGGGTTTTCAGAAGGATAATGGAAAGAGAAAATCAATACGTAAAATGAGAAATAAATAAATAAATAAATCAAAGGAGTAGATATTTAGTACATTATTACATTTTTGAATTTATAAATGAAAAAAATGAGAGAGAGGAGAAAAGAAAGGTGTAATTCAGAAAATCGTAATAATGGGCTTTTTCATAAAATTTCAAAAAAAAAAAAATTACAAATCCAGTCTTGGAATTTGGGATACAGCTAAAGCTAAATTCATTAAAAAAGGGTATGACTAGGGGTCAATTTTAATTAGATAACTTGATTTTGAGATTCCATCTTATTAAAACTTTGAGAAGAAAAAGTTTTTGAGTCAAGTAACGTCATTTTATAAGTTTTTCTCTTTCATGTTGACTGTAACCAAAACACTTTGACCGATCCAAATCTTAACTACGAAATCTCCGCGCCCGTGACTCTTGTCCCGGGCAAAAGAAGTGTTGTATTAAAAGTGTTTTAAACATACTATAAGACTTGCTGATTTTTTTAGCTTGAATGTGAACATTAAATTAAATACTTCTGTAAATGTTCAGAAAAGAAGTTGAGAAGAATTACAAAAAAAAAAAAGAATCTGAGAAGAAAAAACTAACAGTTAGTGATTGAAAGACATACAGTATTTCTCATAAATTTATGAATCGTCTGTGGAGATCTTATATAGTAATTTTTTTTATAATATATACATATATATATATATATATATATATATATACATTTCTCAAATATTCAAGAGAGAATAAAAGAGAGTAACTGTTTGCTTCAAGCTGTTCAGGTCCATGCCTTCATTAACACAGAGGACATATTTCTGCAGGAGAAAGATTTATATGACAAATGGTGTTTCTTGAGAAATATATAAAAATTCTATTTTAAGCAAAAATCAAAAATAGACTACCTTAAGGAAAGGGAGCTCAATATTACCTTGTTCCATCAATTGGTACAAGTCAGAGCATCTTTCAATTCTATCAGAGCTTTCACTCTCCCTTCGGATGACTTGGTAATCGATTCATTGGCAATGGGGCTGTTGGCAGTCTCACATCTCACGAATCAACTGGCTCCATAAAATTTTCCAATATCCTTTTATTCTGTTCAGTGGTTTCAGTCTATCCTTCATTTTAGATGTCAACCCGCACAAGCTCAAGCTATGACCACGCTTCCAGATGCTGTTGAAATAGCAAAAATAATTTTCAAACTCAATGCCAACAAAGCTTTGGGGCCAGACGGATTCACCTCAGAATTCTTTAAAGAGGTTTGGCATATGATTGGAGGAGAAACAGTAGATGCAATCCTAGGATTCTTCAGAACATGGTTCCTTCCCGTGACCACAAACTCAACGATCCTCACTTTAGTACCTAAAAGACCATGTGTCTCTGCTATTGGAGACTAAAGACCTATTTCCTGCTGTAACACCATATATAATGCCATTTCCAAGCTTCTGGTTCATCGTCCGAAACCCTTTTTCCCCAAGCTGATTTGTCCCAACCAGACTGCCTTCTTTCAGGGGCGCTTACTGGTGGAAAACACTGTGCTAGCTGTAGAGGTAATAAACGTTTACCATCGAGATAAGGGAATCAAAAGAATTACTATAAAAATGGATATAGCAAAGGTATTTGATACCATTAACTAGAACTTCATCATCACTACCCTTGTAAGTATTGGAATACCTGATCTCTACAGCCATTGGTTGAAAGCTTATATATCTACGCCCACTTTCACGGTAGGGTACAACTGAACAGTTCAAGGATACTTCAAAAGGAAGCGTGGTCTCCGTCAAGGAGACCCACTCTCTCCATACTTATTTTTTATTGTCATGAATTGCCTCTCTTAGCTTCTTGACAATGCTGCAGCTCAAGGAAAATTTAGCTACCATCAGAGGTGTGAGGATACAAAGTTGACACATCTATGCTTCACGAATAACCTCCTTACTAGGATAAGACCTGCGCTTTGCGCAGGATGAGTTACATAGTTAAAATATAAACCATATGGTATTGACAAAGTTAAGATTTATATATGCCAAGTTTTCTGTATATATGTATATAATTTGGATTTTTATATAATAATCTATTTGTTGGGCCATGAACAATTTTAATTGGAATTTTTGATCAAAACTTAAAATTTGTGATAGGTCTGTCACATTTGGATATTTTCTTTTACTAAGATTTGTGTATTTTTGATTTTGAAGTTACACTAATTATAACAATATCAGATTTTTATATTTTTTGAGAACATAAGATGAAAAATTAAAATATTAAAACTGATAAGTACAAATTAGGTTAGACTTATATATAATTTGAAGTATAATTGGTTATCGACCACATTAACACAACATAAAATTTAGCAACACGATTATTATTGTACTTAAGGTCCAAATAAGATGAAATTGTTTTTTTTTTCTTTTTTTCAACCAATACTTTACTTCAAGTACTTAGATGATGGTATTTGAAAAGTTCCTTACAAAATAATGATTACTAATATGTAATGGATGTGTTTAAACTACTACTTAGGATGTTTAACTTCATATAAACATCATGCATAATTTATTATAATACTATGTAATAAATTTTCAACCTGCCAAGCTTTGTAAATTAACATTTTTGAATTTAAAATATTAATTATTCAATTTGAAACCGATAATTGGTTAGTGGTTTTTACATGGTTCAAAGATTATAAAAAATGAACAAAAACCTAAAATATAATAAGAGAAAGCCGTACTAAACTCAACGGTTTAGGTTGTTCCCATCCTGCCACCACCGGACTCGATAAGATCTCCTCCAGCTTTGCTAGTTTTTGCTCCTCCTGCTTCAGTCCTGAAATGGTTATTCCGATGGCAACAAACAATGACTGTGATATATAGTGTGTTTTAATGATATTTAGCATTTCATTTGGTTCTTTTTAATCACTTTAGGTTTCATTTAGGTGTCTACATTGCATATATTTGTTCATTTTTTTTGCATTTGGGTTTGGAGTGCCAAATTGGAAATTTCTGGAAGATTATTTCTGTAAATCAAGAATATTCGGTGCAAAAACGAAAGATTACAACAATGCAGGGACCAAGGTTACAATTTCAGAATATTCCCTTGGGTCAGACCGCACAATAAAAAGCTTTGAGGTTGATTCAAGTGGATCTTTCTGTATGTTCCATAGTTATGGAACCAAAGTGTAAATATCCAAAAGTTCAAAGGCTAAATGTGCAAAAAGGCCAAAATAGCCATTGGAGCTCACGATAGATCCTGTGCACGACGATTCCGGCGGTCATGAGATGAGAGCCAATGACGAAGCTCACCTGATGTTGCAGAGGAGAAGATGAGCACGGCAGCAAGTCTTAACTCCGACGAAGGTGGAGGAGCTTGCCGTATGACCTTGACGGAGATGTGGGAACGCGGAGGAGACGCGGTTAAGGATTCACGTCCTCTTTTTTTACATTTCAAAATTTCTTCCAGTCATGTGTGTTTGAAGTAAGAAAAGGTCTCTTCAAACGAATTAGAAAAAGTTATTTCTTCAACCATAGTGATGATGATGAGCCTGTATTGTGGGAGTAAAATAATTACAAAACATTGTATGTTGAAAACGAAAAGATACATACGGACACGTTTTTGTATTAACCTTGGTTTGTTTTATATCATATATCATATCTAGCGTATTTAATGGTTCTAGTGATATATACAAATTGAATTGGACCTAACATATTTTTCAATTTCAATGTGAAGCTGACATGTAGGATTTATTAACTACCTAATTGATTGACATGTAGGCAAGGGGTCTTTTTTAATTATTACAAAATTAAGGTTACATCTTTTCAAATGTTTCTCAATTAATATATAGGGGATTTTAACTTCGGGGAATCTTCAGTCAGTAAAGGGTGCTTGACGTGCTTAGAGAACTTGAAACACTATCTGGTCTTAGAGTGAGTTGATCTAAAACGTTTTTCTTCACGTGCGGCCTCTCACAGCAGAATATCAGAGAAATCATGGAGGAAACTGGTCTGTCGCATGGGCATTTAGCCATTAGATATCTTGGGGTACCATTGTGCACGAAGAAGCTATCCTTGGAAAATTTTGAACCACTCATCCCCAGCGTCAAAGGCAAACTATATTCCTGGTCAGCAAAAACACTATCTTTCGCAGGGAGGTTTCTTCTTGTCAACACGGTAATATCATGGATAACTAATCTCTGGTGCAGTACCTTTGCTCTACCGAAAGCCTGCATCAAAATGATTAATTCATTATGTGGAGCATATCTATGGAAGGGAACTATTGAGGGCCACCGCACGGCAAGAGTGGCGTGGGAAACAATAACAATTTCGGAAAAGAGGGAGGATAAGGAGTGAGGGACCTCATAAGTTGGAACAAGGCGACTTCAATCAGAATCATATGGCTGCTGTTTTTCAGTTCAGGATCAATTTGGGTAGCGTTGTTTGTTGACACAGTCCTCTCGGGAGATCTCTCCAACTTCTGGATAATCAAAGAATCAAACAAGCACTCTTGGATGGTTAATAGATTGTTGAAGTTGAGACCCCTTGTCTACAACTGGATTCATCTCAATATTGGAAATGGAAAATCTTACCACTTCTGGAGTTATAATTGGAGTCCATATGGGAGGCGCTCAACTTATTTGAACATGCGCCCCAACTCTAGATTATGAATACCACACCAGGCTACAATCGCCGATCTCTTTAGAAAACTTGTTTATTTATTATAAAGTAGGAATACAAATTACATACTATTTTTCTCCTATAGTATTAAAAGTAATTCTTTTTTTGGCATCTTAAATAAATTTGTGTGAAAAGTAGAGTTTCTAAGATAACTTATCGACTTGAGTTTTTATACAAAAATAACCAGTGTTTAAGACAATACTTTTATCATAACAGTTTTAACGTATAGGTTTTTTAGTGGGTACTCACAAAAGGAATTACACCATATTAGATATTTTTTTACGGAAAAAGAAGTACAGTAAATATTAATCGATCATAAAAATATATAGGTATAA